GCAGTATTTGCAAAAGAGAGTCTGTGGTTTATTGTGTTAACAACAGTGACCACAGGACAAAAAAACAAACAAACAAAAAAACATTGTTTTTCATCAGAAGTTTATTTTCCCATGATAAAGGAAATAAATTGACATTATCAAAAGAGAAATTAAATAGGAAACTTCATATTCCACTGTTTTATCTCCTTTTTTCAGCCTGTTGATTTGCCTGGGAGGTCAACCTCTACCCATACCATTCCTAAAAATGACTTTTTAAAATTCTGTCAAACCTTCTAGACTTAGCTCACTTGTGGAAACTTCAAAAAACCTTTCTGTTTGTAAGATAAGTAAATCAAATGTATCAAAACACTCAGGAAGCCTTGCAGTGACCCATGATGGAAGATCAAACAGCCTGATGAGAAAGCAGGCTGTGGTCCCAGGAGGCCTTTTAGAGACAGGGCAGGTGAGGGGTGCAAAGAACCCATAGGTAGCTCCACAGTCACTGGGAAGCTATGATGTCCGTGTGAGACAAGCAGGAGTATATAACCAAGCCACGGGGGTGGGGGTGGAGTCTTAGTCCACTGATGAAGTTCTCTGCTGCCTGTCTGCCCCTCTGCCCTGGGTCTTTCGAGTTACTGTGCTGAGCTTTGCCAAAGCTTTACCAACACATTTCACCCCAGCCCCAGATCTGAGCTCCAGCTTCTCACCGGACCCAACTGAGCTGTGTTTCTATTGGGTTGTCGGCAAGGTCATGATGCATTTTTAAATAGAAAAATACGTCCTGACTTGGCCGGCAACCCAGTAATACGCTCTGGGGCCTTGAAGTGTGGTACCCTTCCCTGGTTTTCCTTGTTTAAAAGTGCTGAGGCACTTGTGCCAACGTTGGGCTGTCGTGTGTTCTTGTGTAAGTCCCTCTAGAAGCAAGGCTGCACTTTCGCTTGAGTGACTTTCCATTCTGAATGCTTCCCGAAAAGGCATAGTTTGTAGATTTTGTTAATGTAGAAAGGGAACATTTGGGCACCTTTTCTGTCCTGCTGATGTGTAGGGCTATTTTTATTTTCTGTTCTTCGCTTTTTTTTTTTTTTTTTGAGTGCTTGTGATTTTAAAGGTGCCAGACTGACTGCCCTCGAGGCTAGTGTCCCCAATTTATCCCAAGAATAGGAAAAATACGGGAGGCAGCAGAGCCGGTCATGTCTGGGTTCAGCATGTTAGCCTGGCCCACTCTGGAGGAATATTTCTTCAAACATAAAGGAGAAGATTGTTCCCTGGGAATGCGTCCATCTGCTTTCAGGGCCGAGAAGACAAAACCTCGTTGTGCCATCACAGGTCCCAGCAGTGTTGGGATGGGATCCAGTAAGCCACAGCCACACCTCCCCTCTTTCTCTCTCCCACCTACACCTGTTAAAATTCCATCCTTTTTCTCCACATAACCTTTCCTCTGCCCTCAGATGTGATTTTCCATCCACATTCCATTCTACTTCCTTTCTTACATGGCATGCCATCTGTTTTGTCATGTGACTCTTGCATGTATGTTCCTGGAAAAGGCAGTGACATCATCAGTCCTTTTCTGTAGGTCACATAGAAGTAGACCATAATACTAGGGGAAGAGTGGATATTTGAAATGCTGTTAAATAGGTGGAACATTTTAAAGCTTATCTTTTCAGCCCGGTCTTTAGGACTCTGGTTTGAACTTTCCTTCTAAATTGATGATGCAGGTTTTCTCCCAGACCTTCAAACCTCCTCAAACTCTCCTTAAACCATGTTGGCTCAGGTTGGATATGGTACTTTGAGCATCCATGAGGTCTGGATCCAAGTCGACACCTCTAGCTACCTATTAGACTACCATGACCAATAGTCAGTAACATAATACTTGTCTAAATTGTTTTCTCAAAGCATTATCCACAATTCTCTGGTAGTTCCTAATGTCTTTTAAGTGACTTTTTTGGGCATCTGCAAGGAAAAGAGTAATGTTGAAAAACAGTTTTGTTGACTTACACTTTAACATATTTGGAATGTACAATTATACATTCCCCAAGAATCCAATATGTTTGTAATGATCTTATGGATTGGCGATCCATTTACCCCTAATCCTGATATGTTTCTGTAATGAAATGTTGTCAAATGGCAGCATAACATTCTCAGAATATTTTTTTGAGAGGTTTTTGCTATAGGGTGCTTGCACTCACCAGACAGAGAGAGACAGAGAGACAGAAAGCGAGAAATCACTCCCCAGTGGGGATGGCCACGCTGCAATCTCTTCTCCTCCATTCTCCTCTCAGGACCTTGGGCACACATGCACACGTGCCCGGCCTGAGTTTAAGTCACCAGGTCTGAGACTCGAACCACGGTCGACTACATGGGAGTCCAGCGACATAGCCATTACGCTAACTGCTGGTCCCAAGCTCTCAGAATTTTAGTATCATTTTCAAACATAGTGCTTTCTAGTAAACTAATTAAGCATTTTGGTTTTGGATTTTTGGGGTTAGAGTAATCACAAAAATAGTGCCATATGAAAGAACCTAATCTTGTAAGCAGAGTAAGTCTAAAATTTTAAAGCCATCTAAGCTGTATAGCTTATAACATAAACAGATACAAGTTAACTCTTAAATAATGATGTGTAAAACCAGCCGCTTGGTTTACTACAAATTGTATACAAGGTTTTTATCAAATGTCAAGACATGTCATATTTAGATTTCATAATAATATCAACTGTAGTTGAAATAGCTCAGTTACTAATAGCTTAACTTTTAGTAGCTTGGGTATTTCTTATTCTTTAGGGAAAAATTAATGATGTATAGTTTCAGCCTTATTTAAAAGACTCGTTCCAATCCTGCAATAAAATATAAATAAATACTTTCCAGGACCAATTGCCACCAAAGAGAAATAGAAAGAGATTTCCCTCTTCCCTCCCAAGTTGAAACATCTAACCTTTCATTGTTGAGTGTGAAGTGGTTGGCAGCCATGTGATGTAGTGGAGTGCTGAGAGCAAGTTTCAGTGAGAAATCCCTCCGTACTGCTCCGCAGCGTCAGGTCTGTGTTCCCCCCTTCATTCTCAGCTGGGAACAAGTACTATTGCGGAGTGGTTAGAGCACAGATGCAGAAGTGAGACTACGTGAACTTGGAGTTACTGATTTTTGTGACTCAGTTTCCTCATCTGTCAAGTAGGAATTGTAACAGTTCCTTTACAATGTTATGACTGATCTCAGTTAATATCCATAAAACTCTCAGAAAAATGCCTGATACATTGAAGCACTAGATTTGTTTTAACTTGCTTGTCAATGCTTGAAGTTTCTTGCCGACATTTCCAGTGGACTGTAGTTACTTTTTAGCATTTTTTAGCGTAGTACACAGAGTAAGACAAAATGATTAGGTCATCGAGAAAGTCATGACATATTTTTCTGGTTTTCTGTGCAAAATGCGTCATGACTTTTCTGACAACCCAATAGTTGTGGACTTGACCTTTGGCTTGAGGTTCCCATGATGAGAGATGAAGGTCCAGATTGCAACCAGCACAGTGATTTTCTCACGGACATAAGACATGTCTTTAATTGTATTGTTGTTATTGTTTTTTATTTATGCCATGAATTTATTTTTTTACTTTATTTTATTTTAATTTCTTTGATATATTCAATAACTTTATATCACTTAGCTTATGAAGTGAATTCTCCCAACATGAATATAATTCACACCAGTCCAGTGGAAGATACTATAAACATTATTTTTTGTTATCATTTAAAACGATGTGAATTTTTAAAACCTACCCCTGTTGTCCGTATGTGGACCAGATGCCCCACTGATCAATTTAAAAATGCAGAACAGCGCATGGACAATGACAATCAAAGCCTACAGTATGTGGAACCATTACAGGAGTTTGGGATGTTCAAATGAAGAACAGACTTGGATGGAAAGCTGACTGAATTGTAGTATCTTAAATGGTATCAAGTCCAAGAGCTGAGAGCGTTTTGTGAGTCCCCCGAAGGTAGAACTTGAACTATTATGTATCAGCGAGAGTGAGGAAGAATTCTGGCTCAATATAAGAAAAAACATTTCGGCAGTCTGGGAATAAAAGGGACCACCTTGTTTTCTGCCTGTCCCTGAGGGTTGGCTGAAGAAAAGGTTTTACAACCAGGGCTTTTGTGAAAGGAACCAGAGTTTCAGTGGGACCCAGTTCTAACGGGAGTATAGGACCTCCCAGGAGAAAGTCATTCCTGGACTGTATTGTAGGTTGTACCTTCCACTCCAAGCATCCCGAGTCTTGTTTCTCTTACCTGTGATGTGGGATTAGAAGCAGAGCACTGGCCTCAACGTCGGAGACCCGGATTCTGTTGTCACATTCTGTGAGATGGCGTGCTATGAGTCCGTCTTCTCAACTGACTCCTGGATAACCCCCACCACACCAGCCTTAGAAAGCGTGGCAGTGGCTGTCCTGGTGGTCTATC